TATCATTATTATTATTATTATTGTTATTATTATTATCATTATTATTATCAATTTCATTATCATTGTTGTTTTTATTATTATTATTATTATTATTGTTATTATTATTATTGTTATTATTGTTTTTTTATTATCATTATTATCATTATCATTGTTATTATTATTATTATTACCATTATTATCATTATCATTATTATTATTATTATTGTTGTTGTTGTTACCATTATTGTAAGTTTAATTACTAATTTCAATTTCCGAAATTGTTCTGAACCGATTAGATAACCATTATAATTAATGATTCAATGTAAAAATATGTCTTCGTTCTTATTTAGGTGAATCAAATTGTATAAAATGAATCCATTATATTTATAAACAATGTATTTGTTAAGGATAATTATAATGTCATTTAATGCTTGTTTTGATTTGAAATTTGTCACTCGAGACCAAGCTAAAAATCCTATTTTCTTTTACTTTTCCAAGTTATTCTCATTGTAATAATGACTATTAATATTATGAAGGTTATCATGATTACCATTACCATTATTATTGTAGTTATCATTATTATTGTTGTTGTTATTATTATTATTATCATTATCATTATTATTACTACTGTTATTACTATCATTATCAATATCATTATTGCCATCATTATTATTATCATTGATATCATTACCATCTTCATTATTATTATTGTTATCATTAGTAGTAGCAGTAGTAGTAATGGTTGTAGCAGTTGTAGTAGTATCATCATGGTCATCATGATCATCATTATCATTGTTGTTGTTATCATCATTATTGTCCTTATTATTATTATTATAATTATTATTATCATTATTATTATTATTATTATTATTATTATTATCATTATAATCATTATTTTCATTTTATTTATTGTCATCATTATCACTATTATAATCATTTTTATCATTATCATTATTTAGTTATATCTATTTCAAAATTTACCTTCCACTGACAGGAATTTACAGCAAAAGCAACAAATTGACTCCCAGCTCATCAATAATAAATACTAACTCATCCGGACTTAATCGATCTCAAATACTTCATTCACAATTAAGTCCACTTCATTGAGGTTCATTCAGAAGCTCCAGTTATTAATGAAAGGTCAATGACAGTTCATTAACAGGTTTTCTGGACATGGTGAGAAGCAGGGAAAAGGCGTGGTGGGTGGGCGTGGCGTTTCTGCTGCTGGGGACCTGTACGCGGGCGAGTGAGATGATATATGCCATGGGCGGTGATGGAATGTGTTATGGTTTGTTGAAGACTCTGCCGACGCGTACGAACACTTACTGTGCCATGGCTTGTAGTGCAAGTAAGTATATTAATAGTATTTCTTTATGTCATTATGTGTAAATATGTTCGTGTTATTATATGACTGATGAACGAATGAATATGATGTATGAGAGGGATCAATATTCACCAAATCCTTGGCTTGTTATGTAAATATAGTACATTATTAATGTGTTTCTGGAGTTACGCGAATAATTGAAGCACGACAGAATATGAGGTGTATCAGTATTTTCAAGTTTTATTGTATTTAAATGTTGAACGTATATATCATATTAACCCATTCTAATAAGTGCTATTCAGTTTGCAATACTGATGTTGCCTTTGCAGATAGCGCATGCAGCGCGTTCTACTACCAGTATCGAAACTGTTCGCTGTTCCTACATTTGGTTCAGCCAGGGTCAACCGCCGTGAACTGCTATGTTCCAAGTCAGTATAATGGCACCTGCTTAAAAAGTACTAATCACTGAATGGAAATTGTTCTATTGTTACTGTTATTATTAGCAACATTCGTGTCATATTTTCATTGACATTTTTTATGTATCCCATTGTTTGTTTCTCTGCTTTTCTCAAATAGAATCAGTATTATGGGACACCTTGACAATGTAGCTTTGTAATATTTAGAACAAATCAGACCTTATACATTTTTTTGTTTTGTAACACATTCAAAAATCTTACTGTGTCGCTCCTTTTCCCTTCAGCGGATGCCCTTTCAGCCAGCCTGCCAAGCCCTAACGACCTGGCGACCCCCCCGCCCCCCACCACTCAGCCGGCAGCCAGCTCATCCATGATGACAACCTCGGTAAGAGGCCTTTGGTTTGGGAGGTTTCCACATTCCACCATTCTGTCACTTGTCCTTCGTGTATCTCGCTGTGGAAGGTCAGACTGCGAGATGAGACAGCCGTTCCTCATCTGTACAGCAGACTCCCCTAAGATCTCAGGGGGGTCTGCTGACCTTTTGAGACTTTTAAGTAACCACGTTTATTCAGAATGTTTGTAAATGCAGTTGATGAAGATCCTTATAGCAGAATTCTCTTAGAATAATACTTCATGTGCATTTTGTGTGTTTACATTCAGACAGGGAGCTTTATGTATATTATATATTCATCGTCATTATTTGTTATAACTAAAGACGGGATATAATTGAAAACAAGGAATTTAAAAGCTGGATTAAAATACTTCTTACTTTCTTCATTTC